CTTTGCACTATCTTCCCTTTCCCTTCCGCGCGGCAACACCGCAGCATTCCTTTCCTTATCTTCCCCTTATCTTTAAAAATTCTCACCATGTTCTCTCCTTGGATCCTCACCATCTTCACGTGCCTGTTCGCCATCGCAGCAGCAGTTCAACCGCCCGCCTACAGCGGCTACACGCGCGTCTGGCAGCAAGATTTCGCAGGCCAAGCCAACACATTCCCCAGCACAAGCACATGGAACATCATCGAGCGCGTAAAGAACTACAACAATGAAATCCAAGCCTACGTCAAAAGCACGAGTGTTCTCCGACAGTCTGGCAAGAACACGCTGCAGCTGATTCCCCAGTTCTCAAGCAAGACAAAAAAGTGGACGTCTGCTCGTATTGAGAGCACGTATACCCTTACACCCAAGCTTGGAAAGATCACTAGAGTTGAGGCCAGTTTGCGTCTCGGGGGTAACTCGGCGAGGAGTAAGCAAGGAATTTGGCCGGCTTTTTGGCTTCTTGGTGATGCCATTCGAAATGGGGTTGAGTGGCCTGCTTGCGGAGAGGTTGATATCATGGAGAATGTCAACGGGCAGAAGATTGGCTACGGTGCTGTTCACTGTGACCAAGCACCTGGTGGAATCTGCAATGAGCCTAATGGTATTGCGTCGAATACTCCGCTCCCTGATAGCAAGTATCACGTCTGGCGGGTCCAGTTCGATCGACGAAGCAGCAATCTGAGATCTCAGTCTATTACCTGGTATCTCGACGGAACGGTCTTTCATCGTGTTACGGGTGCTCAAATTGGCAATGCCACGGTTTGGAAGAGGCTTTGCCATAGTCCCATGTTTGTTATCTTCAATGTTGCCGTTGGTGGAGATTGGGTAAGTTGAATAATCCGAAGAAGAGAGACGTTGACTAACAAGATTGTAGCCTGGCGTTCCTAACTCCAGCACTAAGGATGGAATTGGAAACCATATGGAAGTTGAATATGTCGCTCATTATGTTTCGAATTAGTCGAACATTCAAGGTTTAGATCTCTTTTATCTTCAGATACCAATAATGAAACTTGGCGTTACGAACATTCGTGTCTTGGTGTGAGGGCGCCAAACACCAAGCGACGTTACTATCACTGAATTTCAGCCTTCAGCATTTTCCGCGTGGTGAGTACGTAATGGGGCATTAAGCTATGTATATGATACAACTCCCGTGGCGTGTTACTATTCTCCCACGACACTCAACTTCGGCGTCCCCGGCCCCGAACTACTCCTCTTTCTCAACTTCCCCCTCTCCGCCCTCGGCGTCGCATCAGCACCCGGTTGCGACGCCGACCGTCCTCCACTCTTACCAAACAGACTTCCCAGTCTACTATGTCTCTTCTCCCTCTCCTGATCCGTCACCGCAGGGCTACCTGTCGTGTTTCCCATGTTGAACGGCGGGTCATCGTATTGAGCATCGGGAATTGGCGGCCTTTCGGGCGATGGCCCGGAGCCTTCTGGTCGTGTTAGACGGTATTCGTTTGGGTGGTAGAATGTGCGGTTGTCGATCTCGTAGCGGCCTGCGTCGATGGCTGCCTGGTTCTTCTCGATTGCTTGGGGAGTGCCACCGAAGTGTTTGTCGACGCTGGAGTTCAGTGTCCCGCGAAGAGTTTCACCGGCGCCCTGTAAAGCTCGTCAGTATCGATTGAGGCGGGTCAATTGAATGGGACTTACATGAATACCAGCAGCAGCGGACTTCAAATTCGCAATAGTCGATTTATTAGCAGGTCGGGAATAATTCACTGCAGCAGGTTTATCCCCAGGCGGGGGTGGAGGCGGAAAAGCGCCTTGGCCAACTTGTAAAGGCGCTGGAACGAATTCTGCTGAGCGTCTGGAGTTTCGCTCTGGAATTGCGGGTGAATTGTTATCTGAGCTGGAAATTTGAGAGGGGATTGGATCGCGGGGTGGAATTAGGCGTCGGCCTGGAGTCTCTAGACTCTTGCGACGTGCTGTTGGGGTAATCGGGGATGGTTCAACAGGCGTGGGCGTTATGTGCGGTACCGGCTCTGGCTGTGTTACACGCGGTGGATGCGGGGATGGTGTGACGTCTTGGTTGCTGACGGTTGGTAGCTCCATGACAGGATGAGGCTCCTCAATTGTTTGGGTTGTGCCATTGGAGTTTGTGACCGTCGTGGTAGTAGTCGTAGTAGTTGTTGTCGTTGTAATTGTCTGTCCGGTATTTGGATTGGTCACCGTCTCTCTTTTGATCGTCGGGCTGGTGTAAGAGTCTGGTCCTGAACTTGGGTTGAGGTTTGGGGTAGGCGTCGCGTTGTCTGGTGTCTTGCCTGGGCTCAATCCACTGTTACTCTTTGTGTTGCTCAGATCACCCTCTGTGGTCATTGAGTTGTTGGGTTCACTGCTTCCGTATGTCGAATCGCCTGAAGTCTCTGCTGTTTCTGGGACCTGAAGCTCTTGACTCTTGCGCTTGTCTTTGTCCTTCTCCTTGTCCTTGTCTTTTGAAGAGCTAAAGATCTTCCATTTTGACCGCTTCTCTTTGTCTTTGCCAGAGGCGTGATCATCCTGTATCGACATTGTGAAGGTGAACAACTGTAAGAGTGAACAATTATTGAGGGTTTGACAAAATTGGATTGACGAAACGGCGAGATAACGGTTCAAATGTCAATCAGGCTTATCGAAGGATGGACGTTGCAGTATGACGAAGGGTAATGAGGTCATTTAACCATGTCGCAACTTGGAACCCGTCAGCCACCGCTGATCACCTCTTGGGAGCTGCCACTAACGCGCAATGACTACTCCATGACTTAATAGTACATTGATCTTGCTGCGAGACCCTGTGGCGTGAACTTCCTGGAGGTGAGCCCAGCCACACATCCATCATTTCTGGTGACGAGTATTTCGCAAGTGGCGGCAGAGTTGGGAGTAAGATCTTAACATTCGAAAAGACGTTTTTGGGCGAGCTCCTGTTAAGGTTATATCACAACGTTTCAACGAAGTCATCGTCTTTTAAAACCAGTTTTGTCCAGAGGCCGCCCAATGCTAACATTGATCGGATGATCGCCACAATCGATGCGACTGTGTAATCCAGGACCCCTAGATCTCGCATAGTATTCGTATTTTGACTTTGACAATCTTCCGCGTTGCCAAGACATCCACCTGAGTGCATCTACCCTGCAATGGATATTGGACATTTGGCCTGGTCAAGACAGCTTGCCAAGAACACTAAATGGAGGTAAGCTCCAGCGGGGACATTTTGTCTATCACTTCTTTTCATCCAGTTTTCATGAGCCTTTCGTATTCATACAAGCCTGTCAAACCTTGCAGGCCATGATCGAAACATTAGTGCGGACTGTAATTTACGTCTGCAATGACCTTTTTCTTGACTACCACTAATAATCAACCAAAACCCATCTGAAATAGTGTTGTTCTTTTTCATCTGATACGTAGAAGTCTTTGTAACAAAGTAATCTTGTCAATGGCTGGTTCTTTAGGGCAACAAAGAAAACAAAGGACCTTGATCCTAAATGGCCGATACTGAAGCAAATTAGCACAATTTTAGAGCATCTTCAGGACACCCTTTGCTGAGTTTATTTTGGCATCCTCAATTAAAACCTGATGTTTTCTTTCCCTCTGAGGGGGTTCTCTGGAGTTAGGGCTTTGGTCGGCCCTCTTGGGCAGCTGGACAGTTTGCTGTGATATTCTAAGCTTACATCAAGAGAAATGCTTTGCATAAAAGTCCCTTTTTCGTGTCTCGACAAGTGCATGTGCTCACAAAGACCTGGCGGGACAAACGATCTACGAGTTACATCCAGTATTTTGACGAGAATTAGTTCAGGGGCTTAGGGGACAACAGCATTCAATTTTAGATATTTCCTATCAGGTTGAGCAGCCAGACTAATAGACACTAACTCGCAAAGCGTTAAGCTTCTCATAATATTGATGTAGTCCTTCTGATATCACAAAGAGCTATAGTCTTCATAAGCAATGTGCAACGCTTCAATGCCTTTCTTTCAAAGCTCCCAGACGCCTCCAAAGAGCTCCTCCTTCGAATCGTTGACAACCCATGGAACAACACAAGCTGTCACGGCACTGCCAAATAAGTTGCACTGCCAGGAGTACTGTGCGACCTAGCTGCAAGTGTCAGAGGGTTGACCTCCACCATTTTTGAACAAACGGGTCGAACACCACAGTAACCATTGGCAATGCGACCGCAAGGTATCTGGCACTGGCAGAACAGAGTAAAAGCTGCAAAACAGCCTCTGAATCTTTCTGAGAATGTTTAAAAATTCTACCGTATAAATTCCCACCTCTTCTCCAACAACTTGGACTGTTTCCTTTGCTCACCACAACAGTCAACCATTCCATCCTTCACCCAACCTTCTATCAACACTACTCTTACTCACAATAACCTTCCATCTTCCCTCTAAAGAACACCTGCCGTCTCAAAGCACTTCACAAAGCTTTCATCCCATCCGACACCATACAATATGTCACCTCTCTACACCAAGTCATAGGCCCCAACTCATAAGGAGATCATCGATAGCGGTGGATCGACCCTCGACACTACTTTTGACACTCAGTTGCCCAGCTCCTTTAAGGGAGAGGGCTACTTTCCAAAGGAGGTTGCATACACTACCGGCATGCACCACTGGTGCGAGATTGCTGATACCTCATACCAGACTACGGATGAACTCAGCATTATTAAGTCTACTGCTTCCGATGTCGTCAAAGATATACCAGCTACCGGTGCTGTCATCATCGATCTTGGAGCTGCCAACTCCCGAAAGTTCGTCTCCTATGTCCAGGCTTTCATCGAGCAGGGCAAGCCTTGTATCTACATCGCTCTCGACCTCTGCAAGGAGTCTCTCACCAATCATATCAACAAGTCCGCCGCTGACTTCCCCCAAATCACCTGCATTGGCCTGTGGGGTAACTTCATTTAGGGTGACAAGTACTTCGCTACTCTCCCCAACCCCCGTATCTTCCTGTCTCTGGGTTCCATCTTCTTCAATGCCCCAGATCAGATGTGCGTTGATCGATGCAATGAGTTCTCCAAGCATCTCTCTGGATCCCCCTACTCAAAGTTAATTGTCGGTCAGGATGGTCCCTCCGGCACTGAGGCCTCGTCCGCTCATGCTGCCTACCAAACTAAGGCATACGATGCATTCTTCATCTCTTACCTTCAGGGTATTCAGACCTACGCCGACATTGACGCCAACCCTCGCATCGCCTGGACTTACGAATCAAAGCTTGACAAGTCCATGCACTACTTCAAAGTAGTCGCTCAGCACGACATGGTTTGTCACCGCCACAACGACCTTTTCATTCAGAAGGGCACGGTCTATACCATGTTTCCCTCTTGGAAACGTGGAGAGGCCGAGATCCATAACATCGCCAAGGCTCAGGGCCTTGACGTCAAGACTCTCGGCAAGGCTGAGCACTCTGGCATGCGCCAGTACTTGATCCAGCCTCGCATTTAAGCTTCATGGATAACCAACACTTCCCCATCTTTCGTTTTCTTTTCTGTCACGGTATTTCGGTCGGAGTCTAGGCTAGACATGAAGAAGTCACAAGACAAATGCGCAAGCACGGCAACGAGGAGTTTAGGATGTTGAACTTGGACATGGGTAGATGTTTGGACTTTTAGGTCCGGAACTTCTTGACTGCTGGATAAGTACACGGATAGACAGCTAGATCTTTAAACTCAGAGTCCCTCCTGAATAGATACATGAGATTCAGGCATAATAATTCCCAACTTGCAATTGTGAAATACCCCACTGGTAACAGCTCGAAACTGACACATATTTCAAAAATGTGTGCAAATATTTTTTACCTCTAGGGATTTCGAACTGCTGCGCACTCACCATCAGCACGTACGTGATTGCTATTCACAATTCCTGGCATCAATGCCATGTTTTATCAGCTCCCATCTTGAACGACGTCGCTAGATGACGTAATCATCTGGTGGAGTCAAAAACAATGCCATTCTTGAATCTGTAACTTAATCCTTTCCCGTCAACAGCAAACCTTACGATCCAGCCAATCATGTCAAAACGAAACCTTCTCCTATGTTTCGATGCCTTTGGAACCCTAATTAGACCTGTTCGACCAGTTGCGCAACAGTACGCAGATGTTGCTCGCCAATGCGGTTTCACCAATTTCGACGACGATGAGCTACAAGCCGCTTTCAAGTCGTCCTTTAAACAGGAGTCCAAGAAAAATCCGAATTATGGAAAGGAGACGGGATTAGGAGCGACGAATTGGTGGACTAACGTTCGTGTGCGGGAGCTGGATGAGGCAAAACGACGCTAATATTATTCAGGTTATTCGTAATACATTCACGTCTTTGGCGAAGGATGACAAGCCCTTACCTAAAGACTTAGCACCAAGGCTGCTACATCGATTCGCATCAAAAGAAGGTTACGAGACTGAACCAAGTCTCGTTGAAGCATTCAAGAAGTTGAGGCGAAACCCGCCTCAAGAATTTGACAGTTTTGTCATTGGCGTTATTACCAATTCAGATGATCGAATTCCCAGCATTCTTTCATCCTTAGGTCTTGCTGTGAGCCCATTGAGATATGGGACCACATCAGATCTCAACAAACTCAACGATAAGACATACGATATCGACTTCCACTGCATGTCATATGATGTTGGTGTTGAGAAACCGGACAAGCGAATCTTCAGCGCTGCAGAACACATGCTCGCCCAGACCATCAGCGCTCGTAGAGGAAAGACCTTGAGCGAATCTGAAGGAGAGACAAGTAGATGGCAGAAGGTGTATGTTGGCGATGATTATTCCAAAGATGTGCTTGGATCATCGAATGCAGGTTGGAACCCCGTGTTACTGGACCCAAAAGACGAATGCGACAACATCGCCGATTTGAAACATTGGCGGTCATCACCAAATGAAAGCCCCGAAGGAAAGGTTTGCAAGATTGAGGATCATCCAGATGCGACGTTAGATGGAGTGTTTCAAGACCACGACGTTGCGACTGTTCATTCAATTCGAAATCTTCTGTCCTGGCTGTCAAGATAAGGTTGGGAATTGCAACAAATTGTTGCACGCGATATCGACTAGGAATAACGACATAGACTATTATGATAATATTGGCGCGATCCATCGCATTTCATTCAGAACTTTTGGATTAGCTCGTCATTACGACCCAGTTGCTTAATTAGGCTCGCCGAAATGATTCATCCCTCATCATGCCAAAACGGGACACCACCGATTAGCCAGGGTGGATCGCGATAATACTGAACTGCGAAATATTTATACCTCTTTGTTCCCGTGATCACACTTAAACTCACATGTTCTATCCAATTTGTGATTCCCGCTAAAGTCAGTCATGGCCGCCATCAACATATCAGTCATCGAAGCTCACCGCCTCAACATTCCTACTTCTCAAGAACAAGCCATTCCTTTATCTCTTCTTGACAGCACAACCGCCAACTTCTCCAACGCCAGCGCTATATGGCTCTTTGAAAAGCCCACTCGCGATGACTTCAACTTGGCCTACCATCTACGCGAATCGCTAGCTCGGACTCTTCGTTTCTACCCTCAATGGGGTGGCCATCTGAAGGCTGTCAAATCAACAGATGGCACCGTTTCGCCAGAAGCAAAGTCATTTCCACCTCATGCTCGGCGGTTTGGGCGCCTCTATGCGCATTATGGGACTGATAATGATCCTGGCGTGGAGTTTATTCATGCCAAATGCGATGCAACGCTTGAGTCTTTATATCCCGCAAACAGGACTTCAAAGCAGACTTTCTGGAAGTGCGACTCCAGTGTCTTTCAGAAGTTCGTGGCCCTTGTCACGATTGCTCAGCCACTAAGGGATATAGTGAAGGACAAAAATGATCAACTATATCCTCTTCTCGCCATCCAAATGACGGAATTGTCCTGCGGCGGCTTTGTCCTTGCCCTCAATGGTGCGCATCCTCTTGCAGATGCCACGACTCTTCTGGCTTTTATCAAACACTGGGCGAACGAAAGTCGCCAAGGTTTAGGAAGCAATCCTCCTGCCTCAATGCCTGTATTCAATCCTGCTCTCATAGACAATCAAGCGACCGGAGACATCAATGCCAACGAACCAGACTTGGATATCATACAGCGAGCAAGGAGTTTACCAATGCATAGATATGACTGGTGGCATCAAGACTCGACGCCTCCTTGGCCGTTCAAGATACCTTCGCCTTTCGATAAACAGAACCTTGAGCCCGTCGGCAAACCTATGCCATGGGCTGAATGGAATGTTGCCGAGTCTGTTTCAAATTACGTTGTTCACTTGAGCCAAAAACAGGTGATATGTCTTTGGAAAAGGGCGAAGGAGAACTCGTCGCAGAAGTTAAGTCAGCACGATGCAATACTATCTCACATTTGGTCCTGCATCGCTCGCGCTCGCGGCCTTGAAAAGGACACAGACCCAATTTACTGCGATCTAGTTTACGGCGTTCGCTCGTCCTTCCAACTCAAAGAAGACTTCTTCGGATCTTCAGTCGTGATGATGAACATCGAACTCCCTGCCTGCCAAGTTGCCAATCCATCCAGCATAACCCAAGTAGCAACTCAAGTCCGCAACACACTCAAGACTATCTCCGACCCTTCTAACATGGCCGCCCATCTGCACAGCCTAGCTTTTGAAAAGTCTCCTCAACGGATATGGCAAGCATTCTTGGGTCGGCGGCATATATTGGTGACGACTTGGGCACGAGCGGGGATATATGATGTTGATTTTGGGTTTGGATCCATGTGTCGCTATGCTGAGGGCGTAGTTCCGGAAATGGATGGAAATGTGTTGATAAAAGAGGCATCGGGTCCTCTGGGGAAGTACTGGACGGATAATGGGGTTGATATTTCTATCCACATCAGGACAAAAGATATGGAGCGGCTTAGAAGGGATCCGCTTCTGTTTCCCGCCGATGCTTGAACTCGGAACACTTTCGTACTCTGATAGTCTGGAGCTTCAGACTCGGAACTACTACAGTGAGGAGTTTTCGCAATCGATGCTCTCACCCTCCCCGAAGCATGAGCCCCATGGTCATAAAACCAGGGTCGGTTTCCTCGCAATATTAACACGCGAAGTATTCACCATGGTTACCCAGAGTCCAACAACTACGTATTCTCCGGCATTCTAAGTGACGAAATAAGGAGCTTATTCTTGCTATCCAAACCCCGGTAAATGTTGCAGTTTGACCCCTGTTTATCTTGATCTAGATATGACGGGCAGTTTCTGTTCGTTGGACCAACATAGAGCCTTGGGCACTCTGCCCCACCCACAACTAAGGTAGTATTTACAAGTCTGCAGGCAGCCGCGCGCTTTGGGAATTGCCTGGCTCAATGGAACTCTCCTCTGCCATCCTTCTTCAAAGCCCATCTGTGCATCGATTGCGATCATACAGACCGCTTTTTCTTTTTCGTAGACCACAATGTCATCTCCAGATTATGTTGGGCTAGACCGACTTGATGGCTATCATTACGATTCTTTGTCTCTAGCCCTCCGCAATGTTCTTAACACTGATATTGCGCTTACGACCTTCGCACAGATTATTGACGGTTTGCCGACCGCTGATGTTGCCTGGGACCGATATTCAGCCACATATGAATCTTCTCATCCTATAATCAATCACAAAACGCTCTGCGAAGGAGCATTCGAGAAGGCCACAACTTCCCGTGCACAGTTCTCTATGGCTGACGTGATGGTTGATCTGGAGGTATGCTCTCCCATAACTCTCAGTCATTTGTTCTATTTGCTAACATCCTAGAGAAATTGAATGCGTATCAAAACGCGAAACCTTCCTCTCGTTCCTTTCAGCTACGACTGATTGAGATGATTGCGTGTGCACTACATCAAATCGGTGTTCGACTGTCACAAGTAGAGAAAGTCCACGACCCTGCTACAACTGCCGGTCATGATATTGAGTCTACCATTAAGTGGGAGCGACCTCCCGATAATCTGTGCCGCTTTCCACCAAAGCCGACAATGTTCATTGCGACTCAGTTCACTGCTTATGACCGGTACCCCAACGGTGTCCATGACATGGTTGGATATTGGGCAGAAAATCGCATCCTAGGCGGAGTAGCACTTTTTGACCATTCACAAGCATGGACGAATGACGACGAGCCCAACGTTTACTTTCAGTGTTCTCGCGGGAGAGTCACGTTTCGTGTCTGTCAGCTTCTCGATATTCAGCAGTCGGCCTTGATATCATTTCTTCTCGCAGATACCAAGGATGCCCGTACCGAGTGTCCTCTCCCTATCTTACCAACCTCCGAAAACAGAGTTCGGATAGACCCAGGAGACGCCATTCCAGTTAACAAAGTTTATAGAGACATTTGGGAAAGGAAGCTTCCCCCAAGGCGACGGAGAGCGCCGCGGCTGGAACGCCCTAAGACATCTTTAGACTATCCAGAGTTAGATACTGATGCAGATATTAAGCGCCTGTTAACAGAATGTAAAGCGTTGATGATGGACGAACCGCGAGGATAACTTCAGTGTGTTAATTTCAAAGGTCATGAACAGCGAAACTTTGACCCGAGATAGAAATACAATAATTTTTTTCTTAAAAGCAAACAAACCAACTAATTGCGGTCAACTTTCAGGAAGGGAGATACCGATTCGCTGTCAGATTTCTCGTCTCGTGGTTGGTTGTTCTACGTCACCACCTCAGCTTATGTCTTAGCTCTCCTCACTTCAGCCCTCAAAATGTCTTATCTCCTCGGAGTCGGTCAGACTCAACCTCCTCCATGATGAATTTGTGAAATTTGCTCTGGAATACCATGGTTCTTCCTCAGGGGGCAACGGAGGTAGGACCAGAGGGCGATCTCGTTCTCTCATCAAACATGTCCTATGGGAATCAACTTCAAAACCCAGTGTGTGTCGATGCGAGTCGCTGCCGCCTCTGCGGCTTCCCTATTGAGGGACAAAAAGATACGATAATTTCCTGTAAATTCGAAACATTAATTGGCGTCTCTGGGATTTGGCTAACCAGCTGTAGTGACTCCGGATAATCAAGTATCATGGCCGTTCAATATCTATTACGAGAAATGTTATGCGCCTCTTCACGTCGATATGTCTCTCAGAATCTCCTTCCAGCACTGCGTCTATCCATACTGTACCCATAACAAGGGACTCGCAATCGCTTTCCATGCACGGTGCGTTGAGATGACCGTTCCTTTTGGAACTCCTCTTCACGAGTACAGCCTTGCTACCGAGCACTCTTATCCTCATGCCTCATTGAATTATGAACGACGGAGAGGCCGTGTTCGGGAATTGATAGAAGGTGCCCTGCGTAAAGCATATGGCAAGCTGTCGCCAGAACTTTGGCACCTTGTGTCCGATGACGACGAGTTGATCAGACTTTATGCCATAACAGAGCTTTCTCTTCAGCGTCGCAAGACTGAGTGGTCTGTTGATCCGTCGGTCCCAATGTTGACCACAGTCGTCAGAATGGATGGCGTTGAATATGTCGGGACACTGACGAATTCTCCGCGCATTGCGAATCGGCAGACTGAGAAATTGATGAATTCGTCAATTTCTGGAAACCTATACATCTCCAGTGACCACCTGGGTATCAGACAAGTCATTGCAGTTCCAAACGAAGACACTTCAGATACTGCGTATCCAGCCTATTGGCAAACAGTATCCGCGAAGCAAATGCTTACTTTCCATGGGGATGTAAGTCCTCAAGCATCCGCTGTACCAGAAGCTAACTCAGTACGCATAGGGCCTCAAGCTTCGGACGCTATTGACTCCTTCGATTTATCCTCGAGTTCTTTGGCCTCGTCCAGTAGCACCGTTTGAACTCGGCTCAATGACATTTTACTATGCTGGCTGGGGCGAAGGGTGTCTTGAGGCCAGGTTAAGAACACTGACTTTCAATGAACCTGGTACAACTGGATATTCCGTCTGTTGGGCCAACGACGAGATGGTCTCAATCCATGTTCATCGCAACATGGAACATCACGAAGCCGACCGTACACTAATGGATGAGCAATCTGATTATAAATACCGAAGTCACCTCAAGTGGACATACTATCCCATTCAAAAAGATGAGTTCGTTCAAGAGGTCTGGCTTCGAGGGTCCGAGAGATATGATACAACCAGACCCCTCCCATCTCAGGGTGAAGGCGGGTTGCGATATCATTTTTCGACACCATGGGGTCTACAAAAATATAAAAGACCCAGTGACATAGCTCTAGCGGTAAGATTTCCCATCTCTCTCAAAGTCAATGAGTCGATCAGCTGACAATACCTCAGCTTGTCATGAGCCAAGGCCGAAATATTGTTGCCGGGAGTTTCCCAGATCATCATGGACAATATACGCCATATTCGAACTACCGTCACTGGAACCTTATAGCGAAAACACCCGTGAACACTCCACGTCGAGTCTTCTTCTCTCCGTCAGACCATGGAATTCCTCTGATAGCTACACAAGGAGTACTAGACAACCATTTTGCCGCCCCTTCACCGAGACAAACACCGCTTGGTACCGTGCCACGTTTCAACCCGCTTCATACTCTACACTATTCTTCCTCGTCCTTGGAGAACATCACAGAAGTTCTTGTCTGCAAGAGTGAGAATGAGAAGGACATGGGTGTGATTCGACAGTTTGATTTGGAAAACAGCCGTATGGTTGAAACTTCTTATAAGAAGGTCGCTGGGTTATTGCTTCGGTACGCTGATGGTAGTGAGGCTAGCGTTGGGTGCTTTCGGTTTGACTGGGCTGAGACACCGCTTACAAGAGGCGATTCAAGGGGACTCTTTGTTGGGACCAGGCCGGGAAAGATCGTGCAGATACCTCCGCATGTAGCTGCCGTCAGTACTGCACCTCCAGAGGCTGAAGGAGAATTTACTTGGATGGAGATGCCCTGGACTGGAGTACTTGAGTGGTGGTTTAACCCTGATAGCCTGGACACTAGCCTCACGCATATCCTTTAAGCAAGCGAAATTGACGGCATAGGGAGAATTTAAACAACAGAAGGACATTTCTCAATCAATATTGTCGTCTCTTGAGTAGGAAACTTGCCTTATAGGGAAATGCTCCGAATTCTGGTTGTCAGCTGACATAAGACGTGAAGCGCACTCTGGTTTCGCTTCTTCGCTGACTACCCCACAGGTTACCGTTTGCTTCCTATAAATTCTCTCTTCAAAACCATTCTCTTTGTCTCATAATACCAGAAAGAAAGAAATTGCCGAAGTAGCTACCATGTCTGAACTCGACGTCCATAGTTTTTACCGCATCTGGTTCACCTGGGTTGACCCACTGACTGTGCTTCCAACCGTCTACGCTCTTATCTTCACCCCCGAATTCATTCTCGATGGCCTCATTCCACTGAGCATGTCTGCGTATAATCCAGACCAGGCCTTTTTATTCCACCAACTCGCTGCACTATTCGCGTTTGTCGCCATCATGCTGGCTGTGCTTCTGAGAGTCAGCTCCGACATCAAAGTATGGAGAGTTGTCATTGGCGGCGTGCTTCTCATCGACATTGCCATCTTGATGAGTGTCTTTGTCAGCATGAAACAGCAGGGCCGTTCAGAGCTGTCAATGTTCAGATGGCAGGATTGGGGGAACTATCTGTTCACTGGTTGGGTTGCTGTTGTGAGGGCTTTGTTCTTGGCTGGGGTTGGAGTTGGTGGTGTGAACAAGGGAAAGGTGGCTTGAATACTCACAATGGCATTATCTTCTTATTTCATTGCCAGTTTAAGTCACGGTATCGGATATCTTGAGGGCTGGGCGAACGTCAGATTGTTGTTTGGATGATCCAGAGTACTTAGTGTTCTGCGAACAAACAGCAGTACATAGAAAAGAGTCCCTGATTGAATTCCAGGACATGTGCCAGTGCCAAAGATACAGTGAAACTGAAGAACAGTCACGCAAAAGCATCCCAGTTCCACTGTTCAATCATCGTATATATTCAACTCTTTATCTCGTCCCTCTCAGTCATTTCTTTCTCTGTTACCAACACTCACATCCAGATTTCCATCGACTGCTATCACACACAACTTGTCAACACCAGTACATACTACCACAAACATTCACTATATCGGCTTGCTTGTTTTACTTCAGTCGTATTCATGGTCTTTGAGATGCCCAAGCGCGACCGCGATGACGACCGCTGTGAATGTCGTAATCGCAGCGACAGCCTTGAGCGTAAGAATACCGCTCGTGGCCGCGAAACCTACGATCACAACATCAACCCGACTCTGATCTTCGGTCTAGACCGCCTTCGTGATGGTCTCGACCTTGTCTATGGCCGCAACACCTTCACTGTCTTTGGTGACATCATGCAGCTTACCGTCCGGGTCCATCTTCCCAAGCCTGAAAACTTGATCGCGCGCCTCCAGGATGAGGGCTATCTTCGTCGCGTGCCAGTCGAAGTTCTGCCTCGGGCTGTGAAGGATCAGATCAAGGCGAATGGCTGGTACCAGATGCGGCCTCATGATCAGGAGGAGCCTTATCAAGGGTAAGTTGTTGGAGGTGAGTGTCGATGACGTCTAGGGACTCGCTTTTAGCTGAACCGGGTTTTGATGAGGATTGCTTGAGACAGACATCCGATGGCCGAGATACAAAGGGCATGGTAAGTGACATTTCTAGAGTTTTGACATTCTGAACGGACCGATCTGGAGTAGGACGATGGGCCGTGGAGTATAACAGTAGACAGAGAGCAGAATTGACATCTATGATACTGGACACCATTTTGACAACTTGATGAAACAATGTGACGTGCCAAACCTAAGACTGAATTACACTAACTTCTATGACAAGCTGCCATTAAAAATAAGTAAATAACACCAGCAATCCTTGGTCTGGCGTCGCGAAAACGCATGGGTGGTGTATATAAACACCACATCGTGACGCCTTTGCATCGTCTGGTCCTATAGTTTAGTGGTAATGACGTCGGATTTTGATACCCTCAGAAGCCTTCCGAAGACCCCGGTTCGAACCCGGGTAGGACCTCGCTTTTTGCCTGTGCTCCTCGGTACAGCAAATTGAGTATTAGACTTGTTTTAGACCCTGCCATCTTATCGAAGGTCCTATAGTCTAGTGGTTAGGACGTTGGATTTTGATCACCCTTCAAATTCTTCCGAAGTCCCCGGTTCGAACCCGGGTAGGACCTCACCTTTTGGCCATCAGTCAGTCACTCTATCTCTTTTGCCTCACGTCCAACTCTTTTTGCCGAAATGAATTCCCTCGTTCTGTAAGCATAGGTTCTCGCGTTCTACTCGAGAGCGTCGTCGAAAGTTCTCAGCTTGGGGCTGTCATGGAATGTCCTCTGTTACACAAGTCCAATTGCGACTGTACAGCATGAATTGAGGCTTCAGCCATAATATCATTAAAAGTTACGTATTGCTATCTACTATTATATACGATCCAAAATGCGCATCAATTGGCTCACAGCTTAAAAGGGCACGGGAACGTTGCGCTCGAGGTATCCAAGGAACTTGGGGAGACGACGCTTTGAGGGAGCATCAGTAGATCGCTGAAGATCCTCAATTGCGCTAGCCCACTTGACAAGCTCAGCTTCAGCCCACGCAGTCTGCATGATTCCGAGACCGAAGGGCATTCCAGAGTCCTTGGCGTAACCGCCAGGGATGGTGATGACGGGGTAACCGGCCTGGGCAGCGATCTGAGGAGCCTGTGCGACCTGGGGAGGGACGAGGAGACCGGAGAGCTTCTTGCCCTTGTAGGTGAGAGCATCATTGATACCCTTGCGGCAAGAGGTCTGGCAGAATTCGAGGGCTTGCCAGTATTTCTCGTCTTGGATGCCCTTGGACTCGAGAGAGGCGAGGAAACCGTCTTGGCCGGAGGCGAAAGCGGGAATACCCTTGCCGTTCTTATACGGGTAGCCACCCTCAACGCCATCGTACTTCTTGTTGAACCTGGAACAGTTAGTACTACTTAGACGATTAAGACCCAGCGCACTTACTTGACGATGTCCTCAAGGTTGCGGACGTTGGTGTTCTTGACCTCGCTAAGGTAGGTCTCAATGTTGCGGTAGAAGTCGACCTTGATGTAGGTATACTCAGACTCATTGGGGAATCCTCGAGTAGTACCGTAATCCCAGTTCCATCCATCAGGACTGACGATGGTCTCGTAGTTGGTGATCTCAGTGCCATTGATGATGGTGGCCCCAGCAGACTTGATCAAGTCAACAAGCTCGAGAAGCTGAGACTGCATGTCCTCATCTGCAAGGGCCCAGAAGCTCTTCCAGGGAAGACCAAAAGTAGCGCCCTTGAGAGCCTTCTTATCAGTGAGGTACTTCGCATAACCACCCTTGGGGGTCTTGTTCTTCTGACCCTCGGTGTAGTTGTCGCGCTTGTCAATACCGTAGATGGCATCAAGAACAAGAGCAGCGTCCTTGACGTTTTTGGCAAAGCAACCGACAGAGTCCTGGTGCTCACTCTCGGGAATGACACCAGCGCGAGAAGTAAGACCAACAGTGGGCTTAATACCAACGAGGGCATTGCGGTTGGCGGGGTTAATCACTGCGACATCATCAGCGCAATCCACAGCATACTGCTTCAACAAAACTCACCACTGCCATCGGTCTCAGTGCCCAGAGAAAACGCAATCACATTAGCACCAACACCAACACCACTGCCAGAAGAGCTACCACCAGGGTTAACAGTCAAGTTGTAAGCACTGCGAACCTGACCACCGCGCCCAGAGTAACCCTCGGAGTAATCGTTGCTGCGCATATCAGCCCACTCGCTGAGAGCAGCCTTGCCGAAGAGGACGGCGCCGGCGTCACGGAGCTTCTTGACGACGTGCGCATCGCGGGGGACGACGTTGCCGAGGAGCGCCCAGCTGCCGGCGGTGGTCTCGAGACTGTCCTTGGTGGCGATGTTGTCCTTGACAGTGAAGGGAATGCCGTGCAGAGGACCACGGCATTTGCCCTTTGCGCGCTCGGCGTCGCGCTCTGCTGCGATGGCGAAGGCATCGGGGTTGACCTGGAGAACAGAGCTACAGAATGTTAGCTATGTTCAAGGTATCAATTGCATCAATTGAGCATGCAATTGGTCATTTAAGTCGACTTACTTGAGGTACTCCTTAGTCTGATACGTGCGCATGAGGTAGCAAGTCACAAGTTGGACAGAAGTAAGCTTGCCAGCCTTCATAGCATCCTGCATCTCCGTGAAAGTAGCCTCCTCAAGCTTGAAGCCATTGCAATCAGGCATAGGGAACAAATCAGGCGATCCGGCATTCTTCTCCAAAGGGATCATGTTGGGCTGGATCGCGAACAGAGGCTCATTCTTGGACTGCTTAGGTGTAGCGCTCACGCCCTGGGCGATGAGGCCCGTGGCCAACGACAACCCGAGAAGCTTCATGGTGAATAGGACTTGATGAGCAACAGAAAGGCTGTGGTTTCAGAGCCAAGAGAGGGAGGGAATAGAAGCTGTTTTGTTTATTCCCTAGACAGGTAAGGTAAGCTATGCACATTAATTAATTACTTACTACAAGGGTGCCCGCCTCAGCGGCGAACTTGGGAATCGGCGAAGACGGAGGCTGCGGGAGCACATTCGGCCGCTAGACAACGTCAACTGAACTAAACAGAAAATGTCATGTCATGGCCTTGCATTCAATTCAATTGCCCATGTCATGTCACTGGTTCCCTCGCATCCTTAGGAAAGATTACCACGGATCAGTCAAGCCGGGATGGGCGGGGGGAGTCAAGCCGGGGAGGGGGACCCTGACAGAAGCTTTTAGCGGACTGCGCCGCTAAAGAATTTAGTGGACTGTGGTTTACGGTAGGCCTAAACTCGATCGAGGCATTGTCAGGCTTGAAAAGTCGCGCAGATTGATAATGGCTCTCCATATTCGGGTCGTTGATGCCGTGTTTGATGGAGAAGATGAAATGAATATGGAAGGTGAACGTGTTTCTGTTACGAAAGAAGAGATGAATCCTTCTAGAAGTGGGATTTGACGTGCATGTAATTATTGTGCATGCATTGAACTTGGGAGGATGGTGACAGTTCGCATTGAAGATCGTGTTCCAGCTTGTCGGGAGACAGGCCTCAGGGCCTCAGGGAGATTCTAATATGAAACCAGGTGCCGAAATAAATTGGTCAAAAGGCTCGCTAGAATATAGTAGACTTACCTAAGAACTTTTGTCACTTAGAACGGAAGTCCTGGTTTTTCTTGCCTCCCCTTCCATGGCAGAGAGGATTCAAGACTCGAACAACGAAGAAAGTAGTAAAGAGGCACAGAAAATGATTCAACTCATGTTATTCCAACATCACCGTATCGTAAAAGAGTATTCATAAAGAAGAAGAATAAAAGTCGCTCGATCACTGCCGACCTGAATGTCATCGCTTGCAATCCATCCCAATACTTTTATTTTATACATAACACATCAAAGAAACCAGGCCAATCCATTATTTCCACGACCTCCCAGCATCGCTCCCACTTTTAGAGTCCTGCATGTCCTCCTTTATTCTGAAGTCCACCTGCACCAAGATGCCATCCGCACTGTTCTCACTCGTATTATCCGCCGACACATTCTTCGTGCTGCGATACGTCTTGATCCCTTCGGCAGACGTGTCGCGACTGGTGAGAACATCGTGTTCGGGGCGGAAATGGAGCGATCGTAATGCTGTGCCGCCCTTGGAGCTGTGTTGCTGTGCGTATCGTGACTTTCCTGTGCTCTCGCCCTGGGTGATGTCTCGTCGGAGGATGAACTTGTCGAAGAGGGGCTTGACGCCTGGGACTGAGAGGGCGATGAGGGTGGCGCCGATCTCGCTGACTTCAATGGCCAGCATTGGGTCATCTGCGACAGGTTAGACAAGTTTTCTTGCTGATATGTGATTGACTTACAAGCCCAAGACATGTCGGCGTTCCATTGCCCTTCAATGACAAACACCAGCCGTGTGATAGAGATGCCAATGACACTAATACCAGGCAAAAGAATGCATCCCAATTGGATCTTTCGCTTTCTTGGCATCTCCAACACCCGAAGCATCACAACTGGGATACCAAACAGCAACAAGTCACAGACCAGCGACACCGACGAATTGACGCTGTAGACCAACCCCCATTGCAAGCAGGTATACTTGTCAAAATCAGGCTGCCACTCATAGGGCCAAAGTCCCGTAACAGGCGTACAGTGAAAGATGATAAGAAAAACTTGCGGTAAGAACCCAGCGATCAAAATGCCAAATACGATCTTGATGGAGAGTCGAAGACGGTCGTGTACAGCACACAGTCGATGGTAGAACGCCAAACCGGACATTCGGCAGAACAGCAGCGCAACGGTATAAACGATATGGGCGCCAAAGTCGAGAACTTCTGTGTATTCAATTGTCGGCATGTCGAGAACATATTGGATATAGTCGAAATGTCGTCCAGAACCCAGCTGGATGAGCTTGATGCACAGGCCAACGAATACTACCAAGCAAACCTAACCGATCCGTCAGTTTCTTGACGATGCTACACCAGTGGGGAGGGATCTGCACCCGCGATGGGGTCGGAGAATTAAGAGAGAGAAAAAGAAGAACTTACCCATGATACCAAGGTCAGAGAATCATCGAGGCCAAATCGTCGGATGAGGAATGCTCGCGATGCAAGACGGCCAAGAACAATAATACTCGTTATACAAGTCACCAAGATGATACCCACAATGGCGGGTGCATCTTTGGACTGGTTAAGGTAAGCCGCTGTTACTCCCTTGGGGACTCGTCCATCGGCAATAGCCTGGGCGACTTTGGGGTCCGTCATAGCGAACGAGATGGAGCGTAGGGTTTAGAGTCTGTTCGCCATGAAAGAGACGGTTTCTTGTACCATCAAATCTTTGTTTCCTTAGAGCAAGAGACTAGAGGAAACCGCAAAACCCAACTTGGATCGCGGGTGAGTTAAACTCCTTATACAAAGCCAAGCCCAAGCTATCTATTAATTTACTACCTAATAAATGGAACCTAACGTTTCCTGCTTTCTCCTCCCCTTCGAACTAAAAGGATTTCGGACAGTAATGCAACTCCACAGGGTGACGGCGACCGAGTGGGAGTGTAGAGGAAGACGTGAGCTCGGAAACGGAACGCTTGACCCGTGCGGAAGCTACGGACGTTCACAGTTAGCAGATTATTATTATTATCGTGACTGTCACTGTCACTGATACAGAGTTTTCTGTCCCTTCTGGAATCGTAAATTATCCCACCCACTTTCTCTGTTTCGGCAGTTTTGGAGCTGCAGCGAAAGGAAAAGTGGTGTGTTGGGAAATGCACTCGGGGTCTAGAAGGAGTTTAGTTCTGTGGTGGCTTGCGCGAGGGGCCTGGCAGCTAGGGGAGATATGACACACATGGCTTGAGCCTTGGGGGAGCAGAGTTTTAAGATGCAGATTTAGTTTTCTGGCGTGTGGACTTGATCAAGAAAAATCACTCGTATCTTGGTTAGAATTGGAAAGTGATCGACATTGAAGAATCTCAGCTGAACCAACAGATACGATGAGAGCTGTTCTCTACTGCGATGCGATGCGATGGTGTCAGTCTCGCGTTCTCATTTGTGAAACTTAAAAATATCTTGGTACCTGAGCCGTGGCTACGGAACCATTACCCAGAACCCCTGTGGGTTAGGTTGATGGACATGGGATATCCTTGGATGGCATCAAACCTCGCTTGCACAATGTAACGCTGCGGAAGCTGTGCCTCTGGATATTCGGTACGACGGCCATCCATGATCCAACTCGCTGGGACGTCGATTTGATATCGTCGAGTCTTGAACAATGCCATTGGTTGGTCAGCGGCTGTAACTCAGTTGGTTCGTCGAAATGGTTCCTGGCAGTTGCCAAGACTTCTTCTCAGCTATCAACATTCTTTGCTTCTCAGGTCTAGATGCCTGCAGTCTTCAGTTTCACGAGTCGGGTAACTTCACAAGCCAAACAGCTTTTATGTAACAATCCATTCCTTTTGATTAAAACTCCCCAAAAACTCTTTCTCCCTTACATAACACGACTTGTCCAAAACAGAACCAGAAAATTTCCCTCCCGCCACCAAAACGTGAACCCGTCAGTAGTACTCCCCGAAGTGGCTAACACCCCCAGGGCTCCCGCTCTCTAGCCAAACGGCACCCGGAGGCGTCCGCACACCCGCGATTCTTGGCTCGGAGTTTTGACCTTTTGAATCGTTCGATTTTGATCCAGATCTCGTACCAACGAAAAGAGAGAAAAAAGCAATTATATCGCCCTCTTTCTTTTGCCATTCGGATATACATAATACAAGGCATGCCAATGCTGACGCCTCTGATTGAATGGGATCATCATCCTGGAAGAAAAGCTCTCGTTCTCCTGAATCACTAGCTTCATGCTAAAATTCCAGCCGCATTCGACTTGAGAAAACAGCTTCTTTTCTCGTACAAGCTTCAAAACAGGGGTCTCTCCACTTCGGCAACCACGGCCGGATGTGCAGTCAGTGGGTGCTCCATTACGTAGCCTAGTAGCACCATGTTGAGTTGGGCTTGTTCATGTGAATTCTGGTCTAAGCTCGTTGCGATTTAATTAATAAATATCAAAAACTGGCATTTGCCTCTGGGTGATCTTAGCCTTGAAACTATTTGATGCTCAGGTACCCCCCCTTATCAATCATTATGAAGCTAAGAAATCAGTGGCTCTATCTAAACGTTAGTGTATTACAATAACTAGCTTGGCCTTGCAGGGCAATTCGTGTCCAAGGCCTAAAGATGGTGTGCTCAGGGGTCCAGTCCACGCGTACATACTGCCAGTACTGTACTGCAAGGTACTGTAGAACATTCTGCGATCTGGGCTGTCTGTCTGTCTGTCTTGCATCACCGTATCTCTATCACTTTCACTTCTTTTGCGCGGGCCAGTTCCGCGACTTGTTGCATTGGTCTGCAAGGTCAGCAGTCCCCGACGTGCACAAAGTGGTTGTTCACTTTCCGTACCAATGAAAGCTGCCAATATCCTGGAATCAGAACCACTTGGTCGCCTATCTCTGCCACTCGCGGAAGTAGAACAAACTCGCCGCCGTCTGTAATACCAATCGCCGGCTCTAACTTGAGGCAAGCACTAATATCTGGCTGCACTTGTTGATTGTCCATGTCGTCCCAGAAAGACTCTTTATCTCTTATCTGAGAAATGAGTTCTCGGTAGATCTTGTTGGTGCTTTCGTTTCTTTTCCGGTTCTTGGTGATTGTTCACCGTCTTGGTACGTGATATTTTCGGGCAACTTATCAAGAATGCCTTGTGCAACTTCTTCGGCCCTCTGGGCTGCATCGGCTTCGAATCTCCCGTCATCATCGGTCGGTACTTGGCAGATTAATAAGAGGTACTGAAGCATCCGAACCATTCGAGTAGCCGCAGGTGTTTCTCATATATTTACTTGATCATCGTCGGCCCCGAACGCCTGGGCGAGTGTCCAAAGTGGATGAGGGTCTTCTGTGTTTCTGATAGGCCGGTGTATCATCTTGAAAATAGCTGAGACAAAACTCAACCAGCTATCCCACGATTCCTCCAACACTGGACTTGCATCGATAATTGTGTGAAAGAAGACTGCAGAACAGGTCAACCCTACTTCCACAAATACTCGCTGGTTCCAGGCTATCCCACTCTTCCGGGCTATGGTAGTTTGGCTCCTCACAGCCTCTTAATAGGAATTGGGCCAACTTGTTTCCACTGAATGTCTCGGGGAAGTTATATACCCAGGACGGCAATTCATACTTTTGGTTCTGGCCTTGATATGCGAGACCTGCTCCCAACAGAAAGCAAAGCGGCCAATGTTTGGCCGGTTTTTGCAACTTTAATATCTCCGCGCACGCCTCAGTGTACACAGAGGCAACAGTTGTCTTGCTAGTATAGTCAGGCTCAATGTATAAAGTCGTCAACCCTAGTAAAGCGTAGACATGGTCCTTTGGGTCTTTGGCACGATACATCCCGCTCACGAGAAGCAGAAAGCTCCGCATCGATCGAATGATAGATTCATCAGCCTTTGCAGCCTTTTCAGTCTCGTGGACACACACCCGTGCCCAGTCGACTTGCCTCAGTGTCAAAAACCTCTGCCAATATATGTACCAGAAGTATTGGTCGGCCTCGTCCGTCTCTGGTCCACTTGCCATATCCCTGATGATGTCAATGCAAGATTGAGCATCCAGCAGGAGTTTCAAATCAATGGACAGAAGCTGACGGATCACGACGACGCGTCTGGAGAGAACCAGTTCCTGGAAAACCCAAGCCCGCTCCCAGTACTTCAATTTCAACATTCTGTACATGGCCTGATCTGCGTCCGCGAACTCCAGGGACTTGACTGGGTAGTTTTCATCCAATAACGGATGGCGCCAGAGCCATTCCAACTCCTGTATATGTTTATCTTCAATAGGAGCATCTATGTCGATGGTTGAACGAACGAGACCACGTTCGGCAGCAGATTTGGCAAGTGTTTCACAAGCCTTGAAAGCGAGACGGATGTCCGACTGTGGAGCTTCCATATCAAGACAGGAAAACACAACTTCAGCAGCAGGGTATATGAACTTCATCAGCTGTACTTGATGGCCCTTCTCAAGATCGTCGTCTTGGTTGATACAGAGTGCGTCTGCCCAAAGCCGGCATGATTTGGGGTCTCTTCAGGAAATGCATTGGCCCAGTGATAAGGTGCATACTCCAGTACATTTGCAAGACTTGGGGTGACGAATTGCTCCACGCCATTGACGGTGATTGACTCGGCTTTTCCTTTGTCGCCCCAGAGATATGATATTGCGCTGAATTCAGTAGCTTCATCTAGTGATACGGTGGTAAGGTTGGCAGATAATCTTTGGTTTGGTAGAGAGAATCTCGACGAGACGGACCTGTCGTCGTGATCGATCCAGAGGTGCATACATGTTCCTTATACTAAATGAGAAAAAAAGATGAAAGTGAAAGCGAAAGTGGCCGCAGGCGTGGGTATTTATCCGTTGGGCTGTGCAAGGTCGCTGACCCCTCATGAGGCTGACTTGGTGTCTTACCCTGGAAATGGAATGGGCTGTGAGGGTAAAGTGTAAAAGCCACTCTAGAGAAGTCAAGACCCGAGAGGAAAGCCCATGATAACTGGAAATTCATAGGGAACTTGAGGATGCACAGGTAAACTGAGGAAACTTCTCATTATTTTGTCTCATGTACCATAATATACCTCTTTGTTTCGTTTGAGGCATATACTCTCATTGCGACGGAGAATAAATCTCGCATCGCCATCTCAACCCCAGGCATCTTTACTGCTGTCCCAGTCTGTTCCTTTCGTCGAGCTCATATGCTTGTATGAAGCTTGAGGAGTAGCTATTCGGCCAATAACCAAAGGTTCAGATAGTTCATTTTAGACTTTCAAAAAGGCTGACGGTTAGAACTTGGCCCGCACATACATACGCTCATGACCGTTGAAACGCTTATTTTCTACAAGTCCTCGTCAGCTTCGTATGTCTCTGGCACTTTTGGTGTAGAATGGCTATCATTCGTAGTCTGCAACATGGATCGGCATCTATTCTGAAGGCCGGATACATCTCCACTTCAGCCTCAGATTGGCAATCTCGTGATTCTTAGCTTGCACACTCGGCGCTTGCAGGTCATATCCGTCAAGAGTTTTGGCAGAACCGTAGGCTTCAGTTTTGGAACAATTCCTAGAAATTTGACTGCCTAGTCGGAGAGACCTTACAACCATGGCATCGGAAATCAGCTCAGAGAGAAAACCCCGCGTCGTCGCCCTTGGAAAACCTGAATTCATCAGTGATGAGTACATCGAAGCCTTCAAGAACGATTTTGATTATGATGTTAGTCAAAAGAATCCTCACAATACTTCTACCAGCGCAAATTCGCCCCGATAGCTAATCAGTTGAGCTCAGGTCCTTAATGCTAGCAACCTCCTAGACGCCTTAGAGAAGCTCCCTCTCATGCTCCAGCAAAACGGCCCAATCGACGCCTTCATCGTCAGAATGGGGAGAGCCCCTTATCGCCCCTTCCAAGATATCTTCAAACTTCTCGCTCCTCACTGCAAGATCATTGCCTCGGCAGCAGCCGGCTACGACGATTTCAATGTCGATTGGTTGACTCAAGAGGGCATTTGGCTCTGCAACAGCGTTGATGCAGTCGCTGAAGCTACCGCTGATATGGCTCTCTTTCTTATCTTGGCGGTTGTGAGAGATACATACCGCGGTGAGCGCGTGGTGCGCGAGGGCAACTGGAGAGGTCCTGTTGTTCCAAGTAGAGATCCTTTCGGCATGACACTCGGGATCATAGGCATGGGGGCCATCGGGAAGCATCTTGCCAAGCGGGCTGTTGCTCTCAACATGCGCATCAAGTACTACAATCGTCTACAGTTGAGTACTGAAGAAGAAGCAACGTACAGGGCTACATACTGCTCCTCTTTGCATGACTTACTCTCCCAGTCGGATGTCGTCTCGGTCAACTGTCCTCTGAACAAGGAAACAGAGAATCTTATCTCGACTAGAGAATTTTCAGCGATGAGAGACGGTGCTTTCATTGTTAATACTGCACGGGGAGCTATCATCGACGAACATGCCCTTATTGAGGCCTTAGAGAGTGGCAAGATTACACGTGCTGGACTGGATGTCTTTTTGAACGAGCCTGATGTGAACGATTACTTCAGAACAAGTGATAAGGTCGTTGTTCAACCTCATGCTGGTGGTCTGACGGACGTGGCTTTTCAGAGAGGGGAGCGAGAGGCTTTCGAGAACATCAAGGCTTTTTTCAAGACTGGATTGCCTATCACACCAGTCAATAATCCTAAAAAATAGAACGTTTCGAGATTAGAAACAGCAGGGAACAGCCAGGTCTCTTGCACCATTACATCAAATGATCGTATTCATAGAGGCCCAGTGAAGTCTATCATAGTAGGAAAACTCTAGGAACAAGGTTAATTAAAAAGCGTTAGTTCTCGGTGTCTGAGACTAAGTTTCATTTCTACCACGTTAAGACAGAAATGGTAATTGGTATGCAGATGCGAGTATGTATGCATCGGCTCGCTTGCCAAGTGATGAGTGACGTATGGTTTCACGGCTCATCCACTGATCCCAGTAAGGCTTTGAGTTGATTGGTGTATGTGAGAGGTTGAAAGCTGCATGTTCCGCTGAGCCTCTGAGGCTGGGGTCTTGTCAGCAATGTCGATCTTGAGCTATTTTGATTCCAGGCAGTAGCATTAAATATGCTTAAATACAAGTTCCAAGGCTGTCCCCGTCCCTAAATCTCCGATACTCAATCAGGCTTGATAGAGTATTGATTGAGTAAATATGGCTGAGTACCAAGCACAGCGCACCGAGTCCACGAGGTATTACCTACCCTATAATCTCTGCTATCTCAGCCCCCCGGTTCTGACTTTTCATAGAGTAGGTCAAAATGATTCAATTGAAGCTCAAGATCCAAATCCAGCAGAGGCTCAATGCAGCTCTCGCCAAAGCTTACTTGACCCAGACCTCACTCCCAAGAATTCGGCGGAGCAAGCATGCCCTTCACGACAACGCTTCACTCTATGGCAGAGTGTCGGGCTCCTTAGCTTTCTCTCCCTTGTACTTGGGACGACTCTTACACTTGCCTCATGCGGTGTCCTCATATATCTCTGGCGCGGTGCTGATCTGGCGCATGATCGCAATGAGCCTCAGTTCTGGAAGACCATAGTCACAACCGGCTGGGCCGCCCGAGTCGCCACCATATGCTCTGCAATCATACGTACCTCTATCGCAGTCCAGGCCAGTGTCGTTGCAGCCGCACTTTCGGCGATTATTCTCGAGACTACAGGCGTTCGCTTCAATGACGTTCCAATCCTATCCTCTGAGAGAGCTTCAAAGTCGGGCTTCATCAACATCTGTCCAGCAGTCCTCGGGCAAACTACAAGGAATCCCTTGAGCATCTTGTACTCTCTCATTATTATCCTGGGCTTGACTATCATGGCGGTTTCTACATTTATCTCTACCATTCTTCTCTCTGACTTTACTACAGCAAAGGTGGCCTCCCCGGGCGTGACGCATGAACATGCCATCGCCTCCAAACACCCTGCCGATTGGCGATTCAACTACAAGGGGCCAACGTACTGGGGGTCTACGCCATCTGCGCAATGGCGCTTCGCAGAGCAACGAATTGGGAAAACTCAGTACGGTGATACCGGCGATATTTATCGTGCCATGCTGCCATTTTCGGAAGCGGTCTCGAGAACATCGCTTGAGTCTTACGATGGACCTGCTTTGGTTGCCAATGTTCGTACCATTTGTCGCGCGCCCCCGTTGGAAAACTCAAGTATTTCCGCCCACGGAATGATTAGCCCGCACTTCGGAGATGCAAAAGACAGTGTGTCTGCGGTTCTAAATACGACAGGTCCGTCTCAGTGTATGCTGTATTGTCGAGATAGAGGCGAGCTGACAGGCTGGCCTGTGTCTCTTTGCGATTACTCTGGCTCTTTCATGCCCCAGCCCAAACTTCCGATAGATCCTAAGACAGAAAGAAAACACAGCTTCCAGCAAATGCTCGTCGTCAATGCGACAACCAATATTGCTGCAGACGGGTTTAGAAATACCAATGGAGGTCCTCCGCCCAAACGTCTACGGAATCTGACTTATGAGATGGGGGATGTATGGACCAAAGCATACGATACCAATGGGGATCATGTCCTAAGTGCTACGTTCTGTTTCGTCAACACATACCCTGCGCAGATATACAAAGTCAGTATGTCTGGGCGTCAAACCACTACGGAACCCAGTCTCAATGTCGGCAAGATTGACAGCGTTCGTCTTCAACTTGGGAACGGGGAAGATTTCGCAAAGCGCGGGATTCTTGAACTCGATATCGGACGGCGCCTGGACGTCAGTACTCGTCTTGTAGACTTTGTGGAGGGCGTTCCGATGGAAGACGGGCCGACCCACGATCCATACTACAGGACTCTGGGGCTCGAACATCCATCAATGTCCAATACGACTTGGGGCATGATGTCGCCAGCACAAGAAGTCGAGCAAGGATGGTCAGCGAACCTGGCGCATATCTCGCTCTTCCAGAGCATTATACAAGAAACCGAAGATCCTGCCACGGCGGTTCAAGGTCTGATGACTCGGCTGTATCAGATGGTCTATTACAACTGGCTGGAAGAATATGACCTCAAATACCCTGTGAACACTATCCATACGGAAGATAGACTTATACCGACTAGATGGGCTGGGCTTATTACTGTTCTTGTACTTATTGCGGTACATCTTGGACTCGTTTTCACAACGATTATTCTCTTTGTGCTAAAGACCAAGGCTTCGGCGCTCGGGAATACCTGGCATACTCTTGCGCAGACAGTACAGATGACAGACGGCACCACCGGGGCTGATATGATGTTGGATGATGAGGTACAGAAGTGGGCTAAGGCAACTGGCAGAGACAACGACGTCTGTGGTATCAGGAAGTCGGACGAGGATGGCAAGGTTGAGGTTCAATTCTTGAGGAAGAGGAGCTGAAGGTTGCCGTGTAATTGGCAACATTTAATGGTAATTCTTTGAGAGATCGAGACATGGCCAGAAGTCACCACCTGAACCTCAAAATATATGCCAACACCTCTATTACAAGCCTATGGCTTAAGTCTACAATGAAGCAAACAAGAGAAACCGAAGTGCCTTGAACATTATACAATTGATCGAGTCGAACGCGAGCGGAGCAGAATCTGAGAGCACTTTGCAATGCCGCTGCTACCCGAAGATCTAAGGTTTCATGGTCTAACGGTTATGACTGCGGATTCTGATTCCGCCAGCGAGGGTTCGACTCCCTCTGAGACCTTTCTTTTTGACCTCTACACTACCCACAGTGAGAACAATCACTCACGACATACTCTAGTTCTTCTCGTAAGGATCCTTGAAGAAGATAACCTGCACAGTCATGTCATCCCTCACATTCCGGCTCATGGGCGGATACGTCGTCATCGCTCCCAGAAACAGTCCCCGTCTTGATCCTCCAAGAGCATTCTTGACCAAGCAAACAGCCGCGTTGTCCAGATCCTCAATGACCTGATGCTCTGGCGTGGCTACCCATCCGTCTTCCAATCTTCCCTCAAACTTGGTCTCCTTGAAGGGTTCGGGCTTGCCGTTCTTCTTGGCGACTAGCCAGCGCGACACGCACGACACGGCGTCCTCGTTGCTCATCATATCCCAAAGACCGTCGGACGCGAGAATTACGAAGTCTTCCGTCTGGATCTTTCTTGTTGTTACTTCCGGTCGGGCTGTCATGTAAGGCGGCGTCTTGGCACTTGGTCGCGGTGCAGTACCGTAGAAATCGTGCTTAACTTTGCGAATGAATTCTTCTGGCCATTTCCACCTGTGATCGCCAAACGCTCTTGTGATTGCCATTCCAAAGAGTCGACCGGACTCAGGGTTAATCATGTCCTTGATCTCTCCAGGGTGCTCCTTATCGAGCCTTTCAACCTCGTCCTGGTTGAAGCCAGTTTGGTCTTTGCTCAGAACATCTACTTCGTATTTGATTGTGTTGGGAGACCACATGCCGCGAACAGCACGGGAGTCGCCTGCGACAGCGGTGCGTAAAGTGGAGGTCTTGGGCTCGTACATTGTTAGGAGGGCACAAGATCCAGCTATGGCGGGTGCGACGGCGATGATGACAGAGGCAGAGCCTTGGTCTTGGCCTGATTCGAGCGCTTCTTGTGCTCGGTTGAAGATACGATCGTCAAGACGGACGAATGCCTTCTTGATTGCATCGTCTACTAGCTCATTTGAGCTGGTGGGTGTGATGTTTGACAAAGCATTCGACACGTATGGGACAAGAGCAGCTCTTAACACTTTAGATGTTGCCCATCCTCTTTCGTTTGTGTTAGCATCGCTCACATCCAATGCTTCCAGGTCACTCACGCATGTCCATCGTAAACTCCAGCATACAGGGTGTTCGTTCCGCCGACGCCCTTGGCTATCTTGAGATCCCATTCATCCTCCATCGGATTATTGCTGCCAAGACGAGCAAAGTCCACTCGTCCTCTGACGCCTCCGTTCCCGTCGAAGACAAAAGTGTGAGCATCTTCACGCAGCTTGGCATCTGCGTCCTCCATGATGAGCTCCTTGACAGGTGAATTGGTCGGGATTTGATTCTCCGAGGAGAACTCCTTCAGGTTGGGGACTTCATTTGTTAATGTTTTCGCCGCGCCTTTACCGCTGAAGAGATAAACACCAGTGCCAGTGCCAATAACTGCTGCGGATGCCCAGACATAACGAGCATTACTGGACGTCGATGTCTGCGTTGACGAGAAGCGCACACCGACCGGTGCTCGCTTGAGCGATGGACCAAAAGTCCTTAGAGTTCTTGACGGTATGCGAAACATGTTTTCCGATGTAGTTGACGATGTGTTGAATGGTGAGGCGCGTGATGAGACTCTTCATGGAACACAGTTGGCACGACAACTCGACCCTGGTCTTTGGGCGAAAGTGAGGCTGTAGTGGGCAGATATTGCTGCCTCTAATACCCGAAAATACGAATGAAGTGAGAATATCCAGTAAATAAACTGAGGAACTCGATGATGGAATTGTTGAAAGTTGAAGAGTGAATACCTTGTCTTTTGCAAAGGTTCCCATGGCATTTCTGGCCTCATGCTTACCCTAAACCAGTCATGCAAGGGCGATGGCTGCGCTTTCACGTTTCAAGTTCAATGTGAGATGCGACAGCACAAGGTGGGTACGATACCATCTGTGGGATCATGAGCAGCTCTAGAATGCACAACGGTTTGGCAAACTTCACAAAAACACGAGACATCATGTAATCACAAAGAATCACAAAGGTATTCATTGCCCAATCCATTATACACAACGCCAAACCAAAGCATGCAATCCTCAACCTTCTAACCGTCTCCCACTCAGCTATTGGCAATCTCCTCCTGCTCATCCTCCCACTCTCCATCCTCCTCCATCTTTTCATTGACCTTGAACTCGGCATCACCTGCCAGGCCCTCACTGTCAAACTCATCCACATCCATATCACTATCGTACTCATACTCAAACTCGTCCTCTTTGTCGTCGTCCTTCTTGCCGTCTTTGGCCTTGGCTGCCTTCTTGCGCTCGACGTTGGCCTTTTGCTCCTTCTTTCGTGCCTCCTTTTCTTGGTGGCGCTTCTCCCATCGCTTCTCGAGCTCCTTGATCTCTTCCTTGCTCTTGTGGACGTACTCGTGCCACATGACCTTGCCGTCGGCGAGACCTTCTTCGACCTTGGTTAGGCGGAGGCGCATTCGGGGTCCGAGTTCGACGAGCTTGACGGCGCGGCGTTCAACGTTCTCCTCTTCCGCCTCGGGCTCGGCTTCGTTCTGGGCGGCTGCTTGTCGAGCCTTTGCAGACAAGACCTTTCGGGTTGTAGAGTCCAGGATCTCAACCTCAGCATCCGTATCCACCTCACTGCCGCTAGTCGCATCTGTCATGTATCCATCACCGTTCTCGCCTCCGATCAAGAAATCGGCTACATCCTCAAGTTTACCCAGATTAGGCATCTTGCCCTTCCGGCTTGTCTTTGTAGTGACGAATTGCTCAGCAGCATTCAGTCTCCGTAAAGGTTTGGACACTGTGGTGGATTTTGTTGTGATAGCATAGTGCCGGAAGTTAATGATGAATGTGCCATCGTCTTCCTCCGATTGCTCGCGGTTCAGCAGCAGGACTCGTCGAATCGACTTGAGCGGTGTAGCTTGGGGGTTGATGGGAGGGAAGAGGGATTGGAAGACGGTCGTGGCAAGCGATTCAAGGTGCTTAGGAACTTTCGACTTGCTAGTCGAGTCTGGGCGGGTAAAGTTGTTCATGACCAGCTATAGATGGTTAGCAAAGGCATGTCAACAACAATTGACGATTTCTTACCAGAGGAGGAGTGATAAATTCCTTGCCGCCACCCTTGGGATGCTTCTGAGCTCTTTGAACATCCTTGCACAGCGAGTACTTCTCCACGCGAAAGTTCATCGTAGGTCCTCGAGGCGTCAAGGCCATTCGCAAATTGGTGTTCCCGCTCTCCGATCTCGAGAACAGCATCAAGTGAGTAACACCTAAAGGACCACACATTGAAGCGTAATCCTTTAGTCTATTTCCACGCCTCTCCTTCAATCGAGCCGCAGTACCAGGCTCCATGACCTTTCGCACATCGGCCGCAAGCTGGCTAACGCTGGAACCGACTTCACCAGCGCCAATTCGAATGACCATGCTCTTGGGATCCTTCGCGGATGCATGGCCGGCAGAGTCAACATCGGGATTGCTGGCGCCCAAGTGGGTTCTCTTCTTTGTTCGTTTGCGCGCCATTGTGAAGAAATTTGTTTGTTTCGAGGGTACTTGTCGAAAAGTTGCTTTGGAGCTGCTCTCTGTCGCAAATGGCAGAAAAGAAAAAAAGTTTGGCGGGGACTGCGATAAGATTAGCGCACGTGCGATAAGCCATCCCCACTAAAGTTTATGTGAAGTCTTAACAAAAGATGATCTTTTTTTTGAGTTGGGAACTCCCTTTTACTTACACATCGTCCATCATGTTCGGCGCAAAACGAAGAAAGGTCGCGCACGATGCGCCCAAGAAGAAGAAACAGGTCGTTGCGGAGAAACCCCCTCGAGCTGAGCCCGAATCTCCTCAGGAGGAGCAATCTGAGGAAGAGTCCGCTACTCTAGAGGAGCCTTCTGCTGAGGAGGCAGTTGAGGATGCCCCCAAGAAAACCTTCAAGGATCTCGTATGTCTTGATAACTACTAATTGACTTTCTGTATCTAACAACTGTCAGGGTATCGTCGACGCACTCTGCGAAGCTTGCGAAAAGCTCAACTACAAGCACCCCACACCCATCCAAGAAAAGTCCATCCCCGTCGCTCTCGAAGGCCGTGACATTATCGGTCTCGCCGAAACAGGTAGTGGAAAGACAGCTGCCTTTGCTCTTCCCGTCCTCCAGGCTCTTCTCGACAAGCCCCAGCCTCTATTCGGTCTCGTCCTCGCCCCGACTCGTGAATTGGCAACCCAGATCGGCCAAGCCTTCGAAGCTCTCGGATCGCTCATTTCTCTACGATGTGCTGTGATTGTCGGTGGTCTGGACATGGTCCCCCAGTCCATTGCCCTCGGAAAGAAGCCTCATATCATTGTTGCGACACCTGGTCGTCTTGTGGATCATCTTGAAAAGACAAAGGGCTTTTCGCTGCGAACGCTCAAGTACTTGATCATGGACGAGGCTGATCGACTTCTGGATATGGACTTTGGACCTAGTATCGACAAGATTCTCAAGTTCATTCCCCGCGAGCGACGCACATACCTGTTCTCTGCGACAATTAGCTCCAAGATTGAGAGTCTGCAGCGTGCCAGTTTGAGAGATCCTGTTCGTGTGAGCATCAGCTCCAACAAGTACCAGACCGTCTCGACTCTGCTCCAGCACTACATTTTCATTCCTCATGTTCGCAAGGACGTTTATCTTATCTACCTGATCAACGAGCATGTTGGAAAGTCGACGATTATCTTCACTCGAACAGTCTGGGAGACACAGCGCATTTCCATCCTGCTAAGGACCCTTGGATTCGGCGCCATTCCTCTTCACGGTCAACTCTCTCAAACTTCCCGTCTAGGCGCCCTCAACAAATTCCGCTCCGGCACGCGAGATATTCTCGTTGCTACTGATGTCGCCGCCCGTGGTCTGGATATCCCCTCGGTTGATGTTGTTCTCAACTACGATCTCCCCCAGGACTCCAAGACATACATTCACAGAGTCGGACGAACAGCCCGAGCTGGAAAGTCCGGTATCGCCATCAGCGTGGTCACGCAGTACGACGTCGAGATATTCACACGAATTGAGGCCGCCCTCGGCAAGAAGCTCTCAGAGTATCCCACCGAGAAGGAGGAGGTGTTCACTTTCCAGACCCGTGTCGAGGAAGCTCAACGCCACGCCAGAGTCGAGATGAAGTCCTTCACTGAAGAGAGAGGAAAGAAGGGCAGCACATTGAAAGGACGCAAGAAGGGCGGCAAGCGGGGGAGAGACGACATGGACAAGGAGGAGGGTTAAAAGCTCGTGCCTGGACTGGAGTTTCGGCAGTTCGGCGTTGTTTAGGTTGGGGGAAAAGTGTCAAAGTCGAAGGATTCTTCGATGCTTGCTTCAGTGTTTCAATGTCTATCTTGACCAGGAGGTGTGGATTACTCAGTTAAAACCTAGAGTGGCTGTAGGTTGCTCGAGATTATACGATGAGTGCGTCAACGGAGGATCCTCTAATTTAGATGACGAGTCAATTCATTTACTTACTATCACTAAAGATGTTTGGTGTTTCAAAGTTGCACTCAGCTCTCCCACTTTAATCACAGTTCATCAGCCCAGCCTGCCAAGCCCGCTTACATTCTCCTTGTCAAAGCTTTAAAGATCAAGAGTCCAACTCGATCAAGCGCGATTGAATGGACTGACTGGACTTTACGCAACCTCTCCTTAACTTCAGCCTTCAATCATAAACTACGTCGATTCTGACTGTAACTTCTCACCCTTCAGCCTTATGAACTTTCCCAAAAAAATCATCTTGTCCTTCCCCAGCCAAGCAGAGTCTGAAACAACCCCGTCCCAGTAAAGCGGCCGCTCTACGCAGGGATCACGAAGATCTTGACAAGTTTCAACGCTCGTGCTTTAACCCCGAATGGCTTCGCGCAGGCCCCGGGGTTACAAAAACGCGAGAATCGGTTTGGTGACCGCGATTCTCATGTTTTCTGATACCCCCCAGGCAGGTCAGCATTTGTTTCGCCAGCGCCAGACTCCATCTCTTATCCCCTGTTGTTTTAAAGGCGGCCGCTCCCAGAAGTTGCACCGCACCATCTTGAGATGAAAGGAGTTTTGGTGCAATTGTTTCGTGTAGCAAAGTTGTATATATATAAGTTGGTGAAATGTAGGATGGGGAATGCTTTTGATCTGTAGTTCCATTCGTTATAGGTGTATTGATTACACTGTCCATTCATTCATTGATCTTGATATCGTCACATTCTTTACATCATGTATACTTCTACTTTTCTTCTCACTCTCGTCGCTTCGGCGAATGCTCACATTGCTTCTTGGAACAAGGGCATGTACTGCAAGGTAAATCTCGCTCTACAGCTCATCATGCAATGCTGACTCTATAGGGCGGCAATGACTCTTCTGTCGACAACGCCAACACCAACCTCGCCGTGAACCCTCTCTACAATCTCCCCAAGTCCAAATGGTGGATGCAAGCCGACCGCGGTTGTGATGCCGTGCCTCCTCCCAAGGGCGAGTTCCTCGAGCTTCCAGCCGGTAAATCCTTCATGACCGAACTCGCCAACAACCGTGCCTTCACGACACTCTCTTACAAGGGAGAGTTGACAACAGAGTGGCAGGATGGCAAGAA